GTTAAATTTTGTTCATTTCAATTTGAAGTAATCAGTTATAACAAAGTCTTTATTGATATTTTCGTGACACAATTTTTATGAAAACACTTTATTAACACATAGTCTACACTTTATTGTCCTAATGGTCCTTTATACCGAACCATAAAATCCAAAAAAAATCAATTAGGTACTTTACTTTTTAGAGCAACTGTAGATCAGTGTTAGCTTAAATATAACAGGTTCGATTCTAATAACAGTGCTAAATAAATTACAACGTTTATGTAAAATCTTTGTTTAATCAGCTTGATATTAAGTAAATACCAATAACTATGTCCTTTTTAGGGTTCCATACCCAAAGGGTAAAACCCTATTACTAAGACTACGCTGTCCATCTGTCACCTGTATTTCATGAAGCGTGATAGTTAGACAGTTGAAATGTTCACAGATGATACATTTCTGTTACCGCTGTAATAACAAATACTAAAAAACAGAATAAAAACATATTTAAGTGGGGCTCTCATACAACAGACATAATTTTTTGCCGTCTTTATAGATAATGGCACATTCGCACTTGGCCGGTTTTAACTTCAAACCGGTTAACGCTTGACTTTCATCCCGTTTTACGTTATAGGCCGAAGGATCGAATCCTTTCGCATTTTATAAACGTATAAACAAAAAACAATCTCAAAAAACTCATAGCAAGGGCCGAAACGCGAACTGCCGTGCACCAGCTGTTCGTCCACATATGATAAACACTACATAGTATAAAACAAAGTCGTCCCGCTGTCCATCTGTCCCTATACATGCGGTTTTCTTTAATAGATAGTGATTCAAGTGGAAGGTTTATACGTATAATTCATGCATATTATAGTAGAGAAACACTGATAATTTTAGAGGTTTCTAAAGCGATGTCGAAAACAAGCATTCAGCATTGCACCCGTGCGAAGCCGCGACGTACGTATATAGAATTGTGAATAATCGACTGTCGCCGTGTCTGGCACTTGCCAAGGCAAGGGCGCTCGCGTCCGTGGCTTACTAACGCCTCTGGCAACTTTCCTTATTTAGTGATAACTGTTACGCCTGATCGCTTCTGGAATCTTGGTAGGGTCGCTCGGCAACGACTGACCTCTGTTGTTTGTATAAAATTTACTCATTAGGTTTCTGGACAGTGTTACAGTTTTGAATTCGGTTGCGATAAATTCTTTCATTTTTCTAGTGGAATTTTATTAATGGTAAACTTTCCACAAATAAGTTAATGGTTGTAACGTTTACGACTCTGAGTTTGGTCGATTGGGAGATAAGGCCTTAACACGTTAGATTTATTTGTCTTTATTTTATATATTTTTGTAGACTTTATTATATTGAGGAGTTCCCTGATGTATCCCGGGAGTCTTAGAAATTATTATAGGCCCACGCGTTAGCTTAAGCGCACCCAATTCAAAAATAATTTTTAAAATCGGTTCATAAATGACTGAAGTCTGCGATAACAAACTTCAATAAAATACAACTGAAATGACCTCCTCCTTTTTTGGAGTCGGTTGAAAATTTTGCGTAATTGAGATCTTCAAAAGGCTAGTGAGGAATATCAGGAGTGGCGGAAGACATGTGTGCTTGAAAGAAACAATAATATGTAAAAGAAGAAATATGCAAGGATATAATATTTAGGTTAAGCTCCGTGAATCGTAGGTATAATATAAGTGTTAATTGTTATGTACCCATGTAACATCGTTGAAACGTACCTTATATATTCTGAGAATAACTACTGGGGACTTGTGCAGTTATGAACGCTTAAAAAAAAACGTTTCGCGACGAACTACGAACTAACATAAACTAAAAACAAGCTGAAGAAATAAACAAAAGTCGTACTAATGTACCGTCTACGTTGGACATGTAAAACAAACATATTATTTGCTACGGAAAACGCCTCTTTTACGATAGCCTTCAAAGATAACTATTAGAAACGTTATTATTTTCTATCACAATGGAGACAATTTTCTTTAGCATTTACTAGCTCAACCTAAACTTTGTGACCGTCGATCTTCCAAATGGATTTTTTGTACCCGTTAAGTCTCTAATAATCAATGTCGAACCAACTATTACGGCCCGAAGCTGAGGACCACCCGTAAATCGGCCCACTGCCGAGGCTAGACGCGCGACCGTAGCAATAAAGCAACTAGCAAACATTACACGAACACAGGCAGCTGTTATCGGTGCCGTGCGCGATTATGGCACACCTTGCACGTCCTAAAATAATTCGGAACGGGAAGCGATCCCGGCCGAGTTCACCTATGTAATTGATAGCGAGCGCGCTGAGTCACGGCGGCGTCTGTCGCGTTGTTGTCCGCGCGTGACGTAACCGCCTCGCGGATCTTATCTCCTGGTACTTGGTTCTTCGTACTGAAAGACCGCGGCTTCGGACGTAGCTCATTTTTAGAAATAAACATTTCTTAGTGTTATTGAAAGTATAAAACACTACATAGTATGAAATAAAGTCGTCCCGGTGTCTGTCTCCCTATGTATTAGATCTTTAAAACTACGCAACGGATCTTGATGCGGTTTTTTTTTTACTTAAGATGATTTTAAACAATACTACCCGCCGAGGCCGAGGCGGGTCGCTAGTATTCTATAATAATCATTTCAAAGTCAAACTCAAAATATCTTAATCTGATATAGGAATAATTTAACTTCTTATTAAACGTTAAAAAACTACCATGGTTAGTGCAGACCTGATAAGAGAAGAAACGGCAAGAAACTCTGCGGTCTAGTTCTTTTTTTAATGATAAAAAGTTATAAAGTATACAAAATTATTTATGTATAAAATCAGCAGCAGCCAGGGCACTTGCAAGTGCAGAGCAACACATCATTGTTTTCATGTATTCTTAGACACTATAATAGACCCTTGCCATTAGGGTGCCTCTTATAAAATGTTTGAATCTATTCATCAGATTCAATTAAACCCGATGGAACATGTAGTGATAATTTGCTGTGATATTAGGATGAATACTGAAAATTGCACATAGACTGAGCTGAATAGCAACTTTCTATTTAGTACAATAAAATATGTTTTAATGAGAAGTCATAAATGTTGAACAAACAAATTCATTTTATTCAAACAACATTTAGATCAAGTGCGTAAAACCCACCATTTGTAAAGTTAATATAGGTATTATATATTTATATTTAAAAATAATTTAATTAGGCCATTTAAATTTCACCTCTATTAGAGTTATAAAATGGGGATGAAACCTTGTCTACACCATGTCTGAATATGCTCATTGGAAAATCCTCTATTAAATGCCCTATTAACACTACATATGTCCTTATTGAAATGTAGTTACTATAGAGCAAGGTAATGTTGATAAAAATGGAACACATTTTTCATTGAACAATTGATAAAATGGGTTTATGTTTGCCTTGTGGTTAATATTTTGAATAGATTGTTTATTTTAGACAAATTCACACAATTTTCAAAAAAGAAAGTAATGTTTTTTGTTTTACTAACAAAAATCATTACTTTTTTATGTGAAAACTTGCCGCCCATGGACATCTGCTATACACGAGGGTTCCAAATGCATTGACAACCTTGTGAAAACTGGGCTCCTGCCACCTCACTGAGGCTGATGCTTGGCCTTGCATTTTACAAGAATAAAATTGTTTTCTAAAATGTGACATGAGAAGCATATGGACACTAACATCCTTGGTTGGTTGTTATTATTCATATTTATAACCACTATGAGACAATTAAATAAATCTTCTTCACACAAAACCGTCATCATGCATCACTATACTAGCACCCATAACACCACAATCCAGTTTAACAATGTACTGCCATGTAGGTGACCTAGATTTGCCACCCCATCAGAACTGTTTGAGAAACCCATTTATACTTCAGCTTACTAATTTATTCAACAGGTATTGTTTTAATATATTTGACACAAGTTTCACAATACACATTATTATAGGTGAATTTGTCTATCATGTTTTGTTCAAAAAAATCTCATTAAAGTATGGAGTAGCGCAAACTAACCATAACTCTTTCTCATTTTGGTTAGTTTAAAATGAAATATTTAGAAAGAAAAAAGAACAAAATTGGTTAAGCAAAGAATGATATTAATAATCCTTATATGATATTAAAAAGAAAACTCCTGCTCAAGTGGTGAATGAAATAAAATATTATTTTTTTTAAATGAATTCTCAACATGACAATAAAACACACTGCAGTAAATTTTCATTAATAATTAACACATAATTTCAATAAACTTACAACCCCTCGTACAATTGTTGATGTAAGGGATGAAGTACATATATTATTTATTTTATTATACAAATTTGTCTTATTAATTCAGTACAGAAGATTATAAGTACACAGCCAAGACATATTTTATTTTACAACTTAACACCATCCAAAGGTATTAATATAAGTTTTGCATAGTAAAGAAAATGTAGAAAACAATTCCGCGATCCCCTCTTATATCTCAACTTGCATCCTTTCTTATCTTTACATAACATAATTTTATTTGGAAGAACATATTGTATTGAGATCATTTGTTGCAATATTGCTAATTGTTTAAATATTAAATGGTATAAAAGCAAGAATAAAATGTTTTGTAAAATAAGCTAGGCATCTTTATCACTGTTTATTATTTGTTGCAAAGGTAAAAAAATAATGTGTTTACAAATGTTTACACATTTGTATGACCGGAAGCTCTTAGGATTTTTTCTTCAATTATTTCAAAATAAATATGTTATTAGAGTTACATAACACAAAAGCTATGATCTATAGTTCAAGAAATGTTTAATATACATAGTGGAATCTACATATGTGTAAATAAAATCAAATATGGTGAACAGATGTTTAAAAGGTCGCATACATAACCTTTGCCGACGATCAAAAAAAATTATCAGTATTTATTACTTTGAAAAATAAATCAACTCCCGTAACAGATGCAACAACGGAACAATTGAAGGAAATGAACAGGTGTCAGAAGCAGTGGAATTATCATTTATATTATTGAACTTACTTTGCTCGTTAGACGCCGAAACCGCTGGGTCAATAACAAATGAGCCACTTCGGGAACTAGGACCCCACTGAGGTCTTCGACCGTTTTCCTTAGACTCTATCCTCTCCGATTCATCTGCTCTACACAGATGAAAACCAAGTACGCACCAATATAACACAGAACCGATACGCATCTTGATTTGTTTCACTAGTATAACAATTGCACACAATGATTTAATAACACTTTCGCCACACTACACTCTATGCACATTCTAAACTTCTACTTTAGGCTACAGGTTTTCAGTTTTTAGGGCCACATAGTATGCAAAAAAAATGGAAGACTACATAGACGTTTAAATCAAGAAGAAAATTTATTATGGCTGAAAAATTTTGACGTGGGCTCTTTATATTCGATATAGCAACATTAAAGAAGTATTCGACACTCGACAGACTGACAATATTTTATTTATACCACAGACAATGTACGAAACAGATAGACGTGTTAAATTTATTACGCCGATTCCAAGGTATGGCAAGAATGATAATATTTTTTTTTCTTGTAAATGTTTAACGGTGGTAGGGCTACGCAGCAGCCTCGGCTGTTGCACGAATGGGCAGGCTCGTCCGGGTAAGTACCACGACCTCACAGAAGACCGTCGTAAAGTGGAAGTATAATACTTTCGCGTTTCCTCTTGTGAGTGAGGTAGACGGAGCCCAATTTTCAAAAGGTTGGCAATGCATCTGCAAACCCTTGGGTGTAGCAGATGTCCATGGGCGGTGTTATTCACTTAACATCAGGTGAACCACCAGCTCGCTTGGACTCTTTTCACAAAAAAGAATGTAGTTTACTTTGGCAGCTTCGGCGGAAGAGGTCTGCGACACACGACCCGTGCACTTAGGAGAAACAATGATGATACATTTTTATGATTTGAAACCATATAAACTTGTCATTGATGGAAGGACCTTAAAGTTTCGTGAATCATTACGTGTGAGTCATAAATTCCACGTAAACTTCAAAAGAGGATACCATTTTTGTAAGGGTCAAACATGTTCGGAATTAATTTGTCCACTCTAGAGGACTGACGATGTTCGATGTTTGGAGTTTGCATTTCCGGGTCTGCATAGATCGCACATAATTTAATTCCTTCCGCTTTGAATACCGAACGACTAGATCTCCTGATTGTTTTTGAAGTTAAACTTCTTTTGGCGCGTTAGGGAAAAATGATGAGAGTAAATTTTTACGATGCGCGCGCACATCATCACGAGAATTATTTAATTTAATAACTCGGTAAATATTGATGTTTAAAAAATGTAAATGTTTAATACAATTTTAAAAAATTATGCTCTATATGTGTGTTCATTTATTGTCGCTGTTGTAACGACACGTTGTATAATACCGGGCCTCTTTAAGTTCGTTTGATCATTACGTAGTAATACCTGAAGAAACAATTACTTTATGAAACTTTTAAATAAATTGATTATTTTCTTAAATGTTATGTTCTCTTAAATGATTAATTCTCGGTAGTTAGTATATATAATAGTTTTTGTAAATTTATTATTACAGTGACTTCATTTTTCGTTACCGATCGTTCGACCATAGTTTGTCTCATGATTGAATCGCAATTTTAAACTTATTTCTTCCACTGGATAATTTCTACATCGATGATTGTCTAAGTCCAGATTCGACCCTCCATCTCTGGGCGGCCCTTGGATCGAGTCGTGGCCGTGTAGTTGGTCATATTGTCTACTTTTGTTAGCAGGGGTCGCGGAGATGCAATTGATGGACGGCGTCATCGTATCATGGTTGTACACCAGCTACGTTATTTCTCCTGAGCCCACAAGTCCTTTATCCGACCCAACGAGATAGTTATATAAGCTTCCGGACTAACAGCAGTCTACATACGTACACAAAAAAAATTAAATGAAGGAATGTTTCTTTTATTAGTACGTCCATTCTATGTCGTGTAGTGTAAGACCACTCAAAAAATACTCTTTGGTTTTTTCTTATAACAATTAGTTACCAAATTTTCCAAATGTTGCAAAACTTTTGTAAAACTTGATGCTAATTAATAAAAAAAAAAGAGTTTTTTGTTAACCACACGACAAAAAAATTTAAATTTATCAAGAATCTTTGTGGTTGTATTTATTTTTAAAAACAAGTAATTCAATTTATTTAACCCTAAACTTTAACTTATAACTACATTAAGTAGTTACAAAAATTAATCAATAATCTTGTGACGTCACATGACGTTATGCTATGGTATGTTACCAAAATATGTCAAATGACCTTGCTAGTTTGTAAACAATACCATAATCAAGGATTCACTTGAAACAATTTTACTGTTTTCCTTTGTTTTTTATCATTAAAGCGGTGTTTATCATATTTCCGCTTTGAAGTGGCAGGTATTAAACACAAAATGAATATTGATTTCGAAACCATGGCCGTTTTGGAAGAGGAATCGCAAAATGTATGTAGACAATTTTTATTCGTTTGTTTATTTTGTGTCTAATATTGTTTACTATGATATGCAACTATACTTCAATTATCATAACACAAATCATATAAGTTAATCCTAGTATGTTATACATATATTTAGTTAAAAATAATATAGAATAATACTTCCTTGTCTATTTAAATCGTGCGATTCTTTCCTTATTGATACCAATATCCGTCCGAGGTTTCGAAGTATTGCACAACAAGATGAAGACTTTCATCATGGCCGATTCATAAATATAATTTGAAACAAAAATATATGTATAATATATTGCAATATAGATATTTTTAAAAATTTCATGTAATTTTAAAGTTAAGGTAGGCACTTGGAAGCATCTTCAATTTATTTATCGTGCTAATTCTTTAACCCACACGTTATGTGTGCTAATGGTTTATTCATGTACAACAACTCACAAATATTTTTTTGAATTAAAGCTACTTGTTTATGTAAAGATTGCTTTTTCATATACTTATACTGTTTTCAATACATTAGTTATTTTAAACATTAGCACAATGCATTAATACAACACAGAAAACTTGTCTCTGCATTTAATATATGAAATACATATATATATTTTATATAAATGAAAAGTCTGATGATTGAAATGATTATGAATCTGGATTTTCCGGGTTTACTACGAAACTTGATACATTCTAATCACATTATACTGACTTACATGTAAGTTTAAGCCTCACTTAGAATTGCACTAAGTATTTTAATGTAATATTGTCAGCAATTTAATGTGTTAATTAAGCATTTTTATTAGATTTACACAATAAAATGATGAAATAAACCTTATAAGTACATTATGTTTTATCATACAGTGAAATAATTCATATGCATTCTCAAAATATGAATGATTATGTTAATTGTAATTATTTAGTAACAATTTTTTTTAATTAGTTATTAGGTTTTAAAATAATAATTAATAACAATATTTCTTAAATCAATATGATTACGGTGTCTACAGGTAATTTCCTTTATTTGCTAGGAATATTCAGTTCATAACATAATATTCAGACATGCCAAATTAATGGTCTAACTTCATAATTAAAATTACATAACATTTTCATATTATAATAGCTTTTTTTTTGAAATATCTTTGGTTATTATACTTAATTCCAACATTGAGATGTTCCTTACTGTAGAGCCATCTTTGGCTTGGTTGTGTTGTTTTTTTTTGTGATTACATTCGCATTAATTCCAGGCATTTGTCATAGATGGCGTTATCAGTTGCTTATGAATTTTTATTTTACATTGATGTTCAATAATCTTACATAAATTATATAACAATAACATGCTCTTTGATTTTAGGTCGTGGTATCTAATATGCACAATGGACTAAAATGTAATATTAAAATGTTGTATTTGAAGTAAAGCAGTATTTTCTAATTTTGTACTCGACTAACAGCCGCGACTTGAGAGACCGTTCTTTTATGTGGTGGTCAACTTTGAAACGGCAAAATATTTTGTAATGAACCGTTTTTGAATGTTCCTCACTCAAGCGAGTTGGAACGTGAGCTTTGTTTATGTAACGTCGCAACAATATTGCGATAAGATAACTGGCGAAATACTTGTTTGCGTTCTTGCGGCTTGTAATTCGATACACCTTGCTCCCCGGTGACAAACTGGGTGATTCATAGGCACGTATTGGCTTTATATTTGAGGTTGAGCTTGCCTTGTTTTCGGTTCAAATTGGTTAAAGCAAACATACTCTGTTTCACCTAAAAGGGGTAGATGGGCATTGCTAATTCTCTCCACTTTTCACCAAGGTTATTTTTATAACCAAGATGACGATTTTTGCTCTTAAGAAATATTCTCCTTATTAGTGCACGCATCAAGCCCTGGAAGCAGTAGAGATTGTGTCTTTTTTATTTATTAAGCTCAACTGCAGATGTGACAATAAAACCTTCTTCGTTCATCTATACACTAATCTAAATGCTTAAAACTAATTGCACTTCCTAATTATAGGCAAACACAACATTGATAGATTCACGTATTTGTAAGTAAATGTATGTTACAGAGAAAAAAAATACAACTAAAACAAAAATACATGTTGACATAAGTGTAAAAAAACCTTTACCCGGCGTAATAACACAAAAATTATAATTGAAAAAAAAAAGTCAGTCATATATTAACAGAATGTGTGAAGTATAATTTACCCGAGATTACTTAATCAAATTATTAAAATTAAATTTATTCGATGTAGGTGGTTGTGTAAAAGTCCCTAAATATGTTTATTAAAGAGAAAGAAAAAAAAGATCTGGTATTAAATATAACTGCTGTTCAAAATTCGACCATAATTAATTAAAATTATAAATGGTAGTGTGTTTAATACTTATTTTATTGATTTAACGCATTTTTTATGCATGATTAAAAAAATATTAGCATTCTGCACTCATTCTCTATATAAACTATAAGTGTGGGATATTTCATACTCCTCAATCCGTAAAATTTTCTTAAAAAGGGGTACAAAGTTTTTGCTTCACGTGTTAATGTATGGATTCTCGCCTTAACCACTTTTTAAATTATTATTATTTATCGCAGTAAGTTTGATATAATGAAGAGAATAATAATATTGTGGTAATTATAATCGTACCCAATGGAAATTAATAGTTAAAATAGCTACGTATCAAGAGATTTTTTTTACAAAAAGTTTCCTTATGTTACCCCGAAGTATGTCGTTTCGTGAGTTAAAA